GCAAGGCCGCTAACTGAGATGCCGCTTTAATAGTATTACCTGATCTTCAGTCTTTCAGCTGGCAAACTGATCACTGGATAAGGCTGTGCATAATCAACCGCTGCTTTATTTACCTCTGATAATTAACCACAGCTAATTAAGAACTGGCACTTACAACTTCATCGCTTTGCTGTAATGTGATCGGTTACTTACTGATTGCTTTGCTCTAAAACTGCTCCACCTAGTCATTAGCTTTGCTTTCTGTTGCCTCAGGAAAGTTGAAGAAAAATCATTTGTTCCAAAGGAGGCAGAACGAACTTCTTCACAAGCAAACCACTGGAAGGAGGGCTATGCTATCTTTACAGAGAATTTCATAAGAGGAGGTAGACCTGCGCAATGCTAATTACTGGAAACACTTCACTTCATTGTCTGCAAAGAAAGAGCTCATAGGTCCAGGAACAACTCCTGCAGAGAAGCTGCAGTGACTAACAATAGAGGACAAAAACCAAAGAGGCCGAGACACACAGTGGACTGGGCACCGCCGGGCTGCTCCAGAGTTCACACTAACACAGGTCGCTTTATGTAAATAGATGGTGGGCTCTTGTTTGGGGATGGGGACGTTATGACAGTCATTAAACCTCTCATTTGTATTCACAGCCAAGGGACCAAACACTTTTCCGTTAATGGTTATGCAGGAGAGCGTGAAGACGGAAAAGGACCAATGATCTCCAACAGAAGAAAAGGAGGCAACTTGATGCGGATCTTTTCAAACTTGCTGCTCAGGCTCACGTAGACTAACATGTTAAACAGGTTAAAAGCCCTTCCCCAAGCATAACTTCAAACAGATCACCTAAAAAGGTATATATTAGAAATTTTATACATTCGGAGAAAAACAAACCCTCCATGGTTTGATTTATCTGTTCGGGATCATGGAAAGTGCATTTCTATGACATCATCTAATTACACTGGTTGAAACAGTCGAAAAAAAAGCAAATTATGGACAGGCGAGTTCCCATGCCTGCATAAAACGGTTCTCCCTATCATTTTCCTATATCTTATTTTCATGCCACGGAACAGGCTTGGTGCAAATCCCGTCAGGATTTGAGGTGAAAAGGGTTGTGTTTATGTGTGTGCGTGCGTTTGTGTTTGTGTCTGTGCGGACATGTACGCCTGCAGAGATCCATTTGTGCATCTGTCTGTCTGTATATATACATGCATATATATATATATATAAATGCATATATCGGGCTGAGGTGCAGTTTTGTTCTACCCCGTCTTTCTTTCTGTTTACTCATTCAGAAACTCAGGTTGGTATGAAATTAAAGGTCTGCTCATTTAAGCCCCGATAGAGTTTTGACATAAATGTCGGCGTGAAGAAAGCATTTCCACAAAAAAATTTGATTGCAATGCAAATGACAATTATGTTTGCAGTCCCTCTCAGCCTGTTATCTTGCCACCGAGCCAGAGAAAACAATTGGACTCTCAAAAAATTGATCCACTGGGATGAGCGCTCTCCATGAATACAAAACACATTATTTTGGATGACCTGCTTGACACTGAATAGCACACAATTACCATGTATATATGCCTTTCTGTATTTGCTCTGTGTGATATGAAATGGTCTTTCTGTTTGGACAGAATTCTAAAACACAGAATGCATTGTGAATACTCAAAAGCCCCGAGCACAGAATGCCTGTAATATAAAAAAAGGCTCCTCTTGAGTGTGTGACTTTTGCAAGAGAAAGTAAATAATACTCAGAGTTTATGTAAACCTCTTAGCAAAATAGCAGTGTGGGTGTCTCATACTGGCGATTATTCAAAGACGAAGGACAACAGAGCACAGAATCAGACCTGGGTTAACAGGTGATGCAAATAGATATTAGTGCTTTAATCTGCTTAGAGCGCCAGATGAGTGGGATGCATCTGCACCATGACAATTAAACTGTCAAATAAACTGTTGATTTGCGTTCAGCAGTCTACCTGGCAGATCAATTATCTTGTTAAACTGTCAGCTACGTCTTCTAGAATTCCACGTTTTCTTGTGGCTAAACACCAAACTGTATGAGGCGTGTTTAAACACAAGCAGAAAACCTTAAAAGCTTCGCCTCACAGATGCACTGAGCTTAACGGGCTCTGAGAAAGTAATAATTTCTTTCACTCTTCTGCTCTTATATCCTGTGGAATGAAACACCTTTCAGATTAAGTCTTACAGTGTGGTTACATCAGGAGTGTATCCTGCACCCTCTGCACTCGTTCTGCGTTTTCTTAAAAATCAGCCAAACACCTGCAGAGTTTATCCGATCCTGTCCCTAAGTCTTATTTACATCCTAAAAAAGGAATCAATCCTCTCATCTGAAATCATTATCCCGAAAGGTTTCCCCTCACCCCCTTTTTTCCCCCGACTTAATTTAGATTTTTCATGTTTTGAAAGCTGTTATGCTGCTAATCGGGCATAGCAAATAAAGTGCTGTGTCAAGTAGAAGCAGGCTTGAAAACCCCTTCTGGCAACAAGGCCTCACTATACTGAACAAGCAGCCCGCGGTCCTGATTATCCATGTCAATGGAACAGAAAATGAGAATAAAGATTTGCAGTGTAACTGACAGCAAGAAGGTTGCATGCTTCCAGTTAAATCTGCAGACTTTGTATTTGGCCATGTAGAGCTCTTTACCATTCAAATGGCATCCACGGTTTGAAAGCTAGATCCTATTTTTTCTTCTTTTTTTAAATTTTCTAACATACAAACTTAAGCCCTTATAGTAATGATAGGAATCACACAGTCATGGTCATCATTAATGTCTGTCATCACGCAGAAGAGCCGTTGGAGATAAATCTACTAGCAACAGTTTGAGGAATCACTATAAAAACATACCAGATGTTGCTCAACGAGTTCTCAAGCTAGGGGTGTTGCAATTCAATGATGGATAAGGACATATGAGAAAGGAAACACACTATTTCAACTCATGCAAGTGAAACACAAAATCATCTTTTGGATACTGTAATGTACAGATTTTGTTTATGATGAGTTGCAGAGGTAGCAGCATGACTACTATTAATTTTATGATGTAATGTGTTGTTCATGTTTCCAGGTTAGCCCAAGCTAAAAGTCTAAACAACTGAAATACTGTTGCAAGTTCACTATAGATGTAGCCATATTCAAGGATTCCTGCTTTGCAACACGTTTATAACAATCCACTAACGGAACAAAAGCATTGACTTTTGGTAGTTTATAACAAGAGCTATCAATTACAGATTTATTTGAATACAGCTGCTACATTAGGATTAGGGCTGAACGATTATGGAAAATAATCTAATTGCGATTTTTTGCCCCAATATTGCGATTGCGATGCGATAT